GAGCGGTTGGGGGCGTCCAGGGAGCGGTCAGCGAGCGGCGGTATCGAGTGGCGGTATCGTGATCGCGGTTGTATATCCCTCTGTTATTGTTGTTGCTATTTCCTGGGTTTTGTCCTGTTCAGTTAAAATTGCCTTTGTCTCAACCCACGAGTTTTGCCTTTTTATTCCCATTTTCCCCTCCCGTCCACGTGGCCGTGAGGGCGAGCAGCTGCACGTGGTCCTTTGTTGCCGTCTGAGGCCAAACCACGACAATGGGGAAAGACTGGGATGATCCAGTCTGGAACGGAGAAGGATCACAAGTCTGCAACGGGGTTGGAGAGATGGCAGAGCCAATTATGAGATCCCCCCAATGCCCCTCATTAGAGCCTGTTAATTGGCTAATTCCCCTTTGAGTCTGGGAAAAGAGGGCTCCTGGGGCCATAAGCATCCTCGCCCTGCTCTGATCTGCTTTCCCAGGACGGGACATCTGGGGACAAGAGGAGGGCTTGATGGACCTTCATATGAACCCCTGCATCTCATGTCCCTGTGCAGTGGGTTTCCGAGAGGAACCAGGATGACTTTTCTTTCCTCCAGCGCAATTAAGCACCTTCTAAGAAAAACCCTGCAGAAAATAAAAACCCCAAGATAAAAAGGCCACACACAAGGCAGAAATGGTTTAGAATTACAGTTTTAATTTTAACGTCCCATCAGGGAAAGTTTGCAGCCATCCTATAACAACCATGTAGTGATTAAACAGCGATTGAAAGATCAAAATAGAGTTGAAGGCACAGAAATACTCCCAGTTTGCACTAAAGGGAAGGAACCCAAACACCACTCCCCTTTCCTGTCCCTTTGGTGGGATTGGGACAAAACCCAGCCCCTGGTTTCTTTCCCAAGGGTAACTCGAGGGCTTTGGGGGTTGGGTTTTTTCTTGTCCTGTGCCTTAGGGAAGAAGTTTGAGATGAGCATCAAACATCACCATGAACCACGGGAAGACTCTCTGCCCCTGAAAAGATGCCGGTGGAAAAGCAAAGATCCGTTCTTTGCTCTCAGCATCAAAAAACACCACCCTCCCTTTCTCATAGTCCAAGTAGATTCGTATCCGCTTGGGGACACTGCATAGAGTCAAGGGGGTGCGAGCAGGAGAGGTCAGAGCCCTGTACCCATTTAGGTTATGACACAGAGCCCATATCCCCTCATTGGGATTCAGGCACAACCAACGGTCCCTTGGAACAAGCTCCTTGGCAACACCAATGGCCCAAAAGTCTTCTCTGTGGACCTCCACGTCCCAGTGGTGCCACCCCGATGTGAAGCCTCTCGAGCCCAGCACGCAGGGATAGACTGAGAACCTCCTCGGGTTGGAGGGCAGGTCCTGCTTATCGAATTCGTACCCCACAAGCTTGCAGTCTTTCGAGAGATAAAGCCTGGCATTGGCTGTCTCTGGGTCCAGCATCATCTGTGCTGGAGGTGGAGAGAGAGTCAGGCTCATTGCAGCAGATTTGGAGGGAAGAGGGTTTTTTCTCTCCTCTCCCATCACTCTGACCTGGTTGGGACCCCTCCAGGCATTGCCTGGTGGTGGGACCAGGATGGGAGAAGGGTGAAAGGAGGCAGCAGAGCAATTGATGTCAATCAATGGTTGGCATGTGTTTGGTTCACTTACTTGTCAAAGGAACCTCGAGCACCAGGAAATCTAGAGGGAAGAGAGAAATGGGAGAAACATAAAGGTCAGTTGGTCTCATTGTGGGTTTCTGCAAAAGTCCCGAGAGTCAGGAACAGGCTTGGGGGAATATTGAGAAACTTGAGGAGGCAGAGGAGAAGAGGAGGAGGACAGGCAGGGAACATCAGGCCAACGCTCGCTGCTCGTTCTCTGTCTCCTTGTGGGAGCTTGAAAGAAATAACCCCTCATTCAGCACCCAGGATGCCTTTCTTTCCCCTGGCTTCACTCCATCCCTCCCCACCAAGAAGCACGATGGCATTGCCCTTTCTGGACCTGCCCTTGGTACCTCGGAATTTCTCCACAAGTGCCTCTATGTTCAGGTTCTTCTCAGCGAAACCGGAGAATTTCTTTTCCAGCTGCGGGGAAAT